CGAATGTAATGTGTGTATAGACAGTGAGTAATTGAACTGCAGTCAGAGAGCACGAGAGACGTTACAGCATTTGTTTAGCGCGATTGTTGAAGTTGAGTGTATTGGTGAAGTTATATTCGGGAAGAATAAACCAGTTTTATTAAGAAAGGACTTGTGTCGCTTAAGTTTCGTCGGAACGAAGTTACGGAAAATCAATTAACAAACAGAGATGTAACAGTATGTAAATCAATATAGTAAGTACAATGATCAACTAAGAACTCTTATGATGCTAAATATCTTGCAGGGAGGTACATAAATTAGCTTGTTTCATAGTAAGAATAATGTGGTTGTTGTTTTTCAGTGTTAGCTGAACCAATATATAGTATAAAAACCATCACACAAACTGCACTGTAGCAATGGTGAAATATATTCTTATATAAAAGGTATATTCTGAGGTAGACCTATGCAGAGGAGATATGCCATTAATTATCTGATTTAACCTCCATTTATGCATGGACCTAACATACTAACTTTACCAAATATCATAACAGTTTTCCTACTGTTAACTTTTCCATGTACTTATCATAAATTCCCCAACTTTTAGCTGTATAAAGTACCACAAGTTTTCAGTTGTTAATTAGCCTCACCAGTGGTTATACATTTCCAACTGTTAATTTAATTGTGTAACATAATATCACATACAGACAACAAGGAGTCATTTGTTTCTTCAAGGCTACCCCTGCATACCAAATGATGAGCATAAGTAAAAATGTAAACCCATATTTTTATTTGCTTTATCATAGTAGTTTTCCAACTATCATTGCAGTTTCATATGTGGTAACCTTACCATTTATCATTACATATCCTAGCTGTTATCTTTACCAATTACCACAAATTAAGCAGTTTCCCAGCCTTTAGTTTTATAAGTTACTATAACTTATAACAAGATGATACCTTTAAAGGTTTTTCAACTGTTACCTTTACCAGTTACTGTGTTTTTTTATTTAAAATAATAAAGCTGAGACTAGAATTGCTGATAAGATTGAAATGTTTGTTTTTACAATGAAGCTATTGATTTACTTTGTTTTACCACTTAAGGTGTTGCTATTGATGATGGAGAAAAAACATCCATTATCCGTCAAAGTGGAAAAGTCAAAATGCTGGAGGATAAAATTTGGAGTGAGTCTCTAATTTTACAAATGGAAACTTTTGAGATAGTGCAGACCTGATTTGTAGTAACTGTTGAACAGAATTTAATAAATTTAAGGTCTTGCAGATACATCTTTTAAACATTTTTTTCTGTACCAATAATACATTTTGGGAGAAAGTTTATGGAAATAACAGGCAGTTTGTTAGACATTCTAATATTGAAACTGAAATATTAGTATTGAATTCAGTATAATTTTACAATGTACTAGTATCAAAATAATTTAATTATACTGCATAAAAGGACTTATTTTTTTAATAATCTAGTTAACAAATAAATGTAGTTATGAAGAAATGTACTTACATGTATATTTATTTAGTATAAATAAAATACTATAATCATTTTATTACATCCAAAAAATCAAAATACCATTAGGAATATTAATATAATTCTAGGAATTAACTTTATTTGCTGGTTGTAAGAATATGTCTTGAAATTCATTCTCTTTGATTGCTGTATAACATGTAAACATTTTATTAGTGTTATGTTTCATTGCATGTTCTGAATGTATATAATATTTTCCATTTGCTTTGTGTTAATTACTTTTGTAACAAACCTTATATATTAAAAGTTTGGTATTAATTTTCATATAATATTAAATTTTGTCTAAAAACAGAATGTTATTAAACTTTCTTTTAGCTGATACCTGCACCAAATTGATTAAGTGTCTTGGTATTTTTTATTGTAAGTGTTTAAAAGTATACTAAGAAGGTAATTACTCAGATATGACTCGTTCCTTAGATCTTGAGAATTTTGATTTCGACAAATCTTTTGACATACACGTGGGAATTGCCCACACTCGCTGGGCTACACATGGTGCTCCAAGTGATTTGAACAGTCACCCTCAGCGATCAGATGAATCAAATGGTAACAAAAACCTGTTTGTTAATTACATAAAACCTAACTGAAATATATTCAATATAAAAGATTATGGTTTACAAAATTGTATATTTGATGATATTTGTTGAATCTCCAGCAAATTAGCAGAGATTTTCCATTATGCTTGTTGTAAGTATTTCTTTATCAAGCTTTTGCTTGCTAACTTTAAAAAATAAAAAGAAGTATTATGCTTGAAAATGAATAAAGGCAAATACTTATGATTTTAAATCAAATATGGTATTGTACGATTTTTTGATACAATATCATTCTCCCTTTGTGACCTCTAATTACCACTGCACCAAAGTTTGAAGTAATATATTCTATGCATTACACCACAAACATTACATTACAAACAAGTTAACATATAATCTAAATGTGATTTTGGAGGAGGAAAGATGTATTTGAACTAATGTATTTTTAAAGTACTTTTAATGTGAAGTAGGTGTTAAGTCAGTTGTGATTACTAATATCAATTATATCTGGGCTCTTTCAGAATTTGCTGTTGTTCATAATGGTATAATAACCAATTATAGTGACATCAAACAGTTCCTGGTAAGTTAGAGCACATTTATGTAGCTAATTCCATATCACTTGCAACACTTGACGTATGTTTCATTCAATATTCTTAGAAAATCTTATCTTTTACATCATTTTAACATTCTGAGTTAACTAAAATGTTGTATTTATGGATACACACAAGTGTATGATTGAAATATATATTGTTTTAGGTTAAGCTCTAAAACAGAATACATCTACATGTTTTAGGTTAAGCTTTAAAACAGAATACATCTACATGCATAACATTTTAAGATATTACTTAACATTATATTTTTCAGTATTGAATGAACACTTCAATTTTTTTTTACTTTTTTAATTGTTTAATTGATAAAACTAGATTTTTTTGGTATTTATTGTATATATATATTTAAATGAGTCAGTTGAAAGTATGTCCTAATTTATGTATTTAGCACAATGTTGCATAATGATATGATTTGGGTCAGCCAAAAGCAGTTGTATTAAGAGAGAAAAATATATGTGAAAACAAAAATGTTTAGGAAACTGTCCATAGCTTTGAATAGTTATAATGATGAAAAAATTTCTCCCTCTTAAAATTGGTCAGCGTCAACACATGTTTAGGTGTCAATTCATTTATAATATTTTAAATGATCACAGAATTTGGCATTATTACTTTATTATTTATATATTTACATACAGTGTAATATTTTAAGAAGCATCTAAAGTATAAGACCTAAGAGACACTATGAATATTTCAATGTTCACTTGAGGAAAAAGTAAGCTAATTGTTTGCTTTGCCTTATTTGTATAAAACTAAAAACTATCTTGAATTTCCAGCTGAAAAAGGGGTATAAATTTGAATCAGAAACAGATACTGAAGTCATAGCAAAGCTGATAAAACATATTCATGATAATCACCCAAGTTTGTCATTTAGGGAACTTGTTGAACAAGCTATTCAACAATTGGTAAGAAATGTTTACATTGTACAGCTTAATTCACAGGCTTTCTTATTGTTGTATTTTTAGGTACATAATTATTAGAAATATGCCAGTGTCTTCACAGATAATTCATAATCGAATTATTAAAACATGTATTATTATACTTATCATGAAGATAATAAGTTATTAAAAACAAAATATGTATCTCTAAGATTTATTTTCATTATTTTATTTTATTTTACATTCAGTCAATTTTAAATTATAACTTAGCTTATCATTGTATTAGTTCAATAAAGTGTTTAAGTCACTTGACTAGTTCATTTTTTTTTTTCAGAACCTTACATTGATGTACATAGCTGGTCAGTAGATGTTTCAAACAGATGTACATGCACTTTTAGAATGTATCTTTCTCCATTAGACTAAAAATAAAATTGTAACCACGTAATATTTTTTTCTTGTAAAAAAGTGAAATAAAAATTTCATCCTTTAGATTTTACTAATTAATATTTACTACTTAACAACTGCTACTAACTTTATTTTAGGAGGGTGCCTTTGCATTGGTTTTGAAGAGCACTAAATATCCAGGTCAATGTGTTGCCACAAGGTAAGACTCTTTAATCATGTTAAAAAAAAGCATTACAACATTAAAGCACAAAAAGTTATTTAAGCTTTTTACTATACTTTTGCCATTTAAAGTAACTTAACCCATTTCTTGATAACTTGATGCCTTGATAACTGAGGCACCCTCCATGTTTCAAAAAATCTTTATTTGAGTTAATTAGAGCAAACCATTTCAAGATATATTTGTAATTATTTGCTCAAATTTATTTGCATGTTATTATGTATGACAATTTGTGCTCTGTAAATGGCATTGAAAATGTGATTTGTGCTGATTTCTTTTAGATTTATTCTAAATTATGTATCATAAATACTGGAGAAAAGCATTTTCCTGGACCTTACTGTTGTTTCATTGAAATAATATATATATATTTAGTATATTTTGTACAGGAATATAATTACAGATAATAAAGAACTTTTGTTTCATTAATATATAAGTATAGGCTATGAAAGAACAAAATATAAAACCTGACTTTTTTTAGTTCATTTCCAAATATAAACCTTGACATGACAGGGGTTCATTTAAATATCAAAACTCCATAAAATGAAATATACAACCAAAATGTGTGAGATATTCAACAAAATGTTACTATATTATTATTTCTCATTACAAAAAATATCCCACCATGGTGAGTAATTTTTTTTTAATTAGATATGTTTAGACCCTTTAAAAATACATCTAGTAGTCATAGAGTGTTTGTGAACAATTGTATTATTTTGTCTTTATTCTGCTCAGAAGATGATGAATATATTTAATTACTAGCAGTTAAATTCACACATAGTAAAGTACATTTAAAGATAAAGTAGTCAAGAACTAGACATTTACAAGTAAGGGAAAGTGAAGTAATATGTATTAAGATTGCATAATATTTATAAATTATTTCTTTTACTTATTACAAACACAAATGGCCAGGTGGTTAGGGTGCTTGTCTCACAATCTGAGGGTCATGGATTCAAATCCCCATCCCACCAAACATGCTTGCCCTTTCAGCTGTGGGGGCATTATGATGTAATGGTCAATCCCACTATTCATTGATAAAAGAGTAGCCCAAGAGTTGGAGGTGGGTGGTGATGACTAGCTGCCTTCCCTCTCGTCTTTCACTGCTAAATTAAGGACGGCTTGTGCAGATAGCCCTCGTGTAGCTTTGCGCAGAATTCAAAACAAACACACAGTATAAACATAATTATTATATTTGAGGATGTTACACAAGCTTAACCCTCATCAGTAATCCTGGGGTCCACATGGACCACAACAACTTTCTCAGTTGTATATCTTTTTACATAATCATTACAAATTTATATCAATTCATGTAATTGTCAAGCAGAAACCCTGGATTGATATCACTATTGTTTTCAAAACAGGCAGACGGAGTACATAGCTGTAATCTAATATTTATCTGGATCCCATGCTGACCCCATACTATCACTGACCATCACTATACATGCAGTTTACCAAACAAATTTCTAAATGTTTATTTCACTATATAGGCTGTTTTAGAGGATAATTCATCAGAGTAGTACAGTATCATCTCATCTATTTGCTTATAGAATCATTGTGGTAAGCTTGTATGCACATCTCATTCCTCAACAAGTGTTCTTTGTGATGACTGCTTATAATGCCCTATTTTATAGAAACCTTGTTTGATAATTGTTGTAAATAATCTGCATATTGGATTTTCAATTCATAACCTACTATAAGGAAACACTTGAGTTGGGGTCTCATTGGACTCAAGGTGATCCAAAACGTACACTTTCAGTTTTCTTTGAGTTGAATTTTGCAGTATTGTGGTAATCTCATCAAATATTGGTGGATAATGACTTGAATATAGGACTATAATAAAACTTCAACATTTTTTGATACACTGTTTGTATAACAAATGGTTTAATACTGCTTATTTGTATACTGAGGAACAATGTAATTTTGTAATTTCTTGTTCACGTTGCATGCTAATTATAATACAACGTGTAGTGCAATTACTTTTTGGAATTTCAATCCAGAGCTTACTATAATGGTAATTTTATGCTGAGGTCTGGTTGGACCCCAGGTATTCCACAACATAACTTTTCAAAGGTGTGTTGATGAGGGTAAAAATAAAAGACAACTGTTTTTACACATTATATCATATCTTTTATGTTTTCGTTATTTCTATCCCACTTTTCAAGTTTAGAACTTCATTGAAGATTTAATTTTATTAATAATTTTAAAATCTAGTTTTTTGTGCTTTTGTTTATATGAAGGTATGTCACCCTCTGTCAAGAGAAAAATACCACTGGTTGCAAATTTAGGGTATAGTAATAAACAATTTTTCATAAGGATTATTCTTTGTTATTCAGCCTTATCGATTGTTTGTTTTTCTAGTTGTACTTTTTAACAAAGATATGGTTATATTAATCTTTCAGGCGAGGAAGCCCTCTATTGGTGGGAATTAAAAGTAAAAATAATCTGGCAACAGACTACATTCCTGTTCTCTTTAGCAAGGGTAAGCTTATAATAACAATCTGAAATAAAGGTTATTTGTTATCATGTTAATTTTTTTAAATTCGTATTGTAAATGTTATATTGGGTTCTTGTTCTAGTTTATTCATATATTCAGGTTGGCTCTCAGCATAAGCTGTTCCTTTCAAACAGGATGCATACAAAACATATTTTAATATCTATAAGAACAGTAGGTTTCAAGTTTATATTGTACTTCAGTTCTTGAGCTTTATGAAAAATAATTTAAATTTTCTGTATGTATAAGGTTGCATGAGTATAAATTATTGTTTTACTTGTGGTCTTTGTTTGATGTATGTGATAGTAAAATTGTATTATAATTAAAACTTTTAACTAATAAAACATCCTTGATACAAAAAAAGTAACAAATGTATACCCAATAAACACCTGACGAATACTGGAAATGGTTGCTCATTTCCTATTAACTTCACTCCTTTCTCAGTGCAGTTAGTTATACATTGTCCTTCTTCTGAACTTGTATCTAGCATTAGTGCATTTTGAATACTTTAAGTGCATCTTAAGGATAGCAAATTTCAATGTTTCTATTGGAGACTTTGCAGACAGGGAGGGTTGTACATGTTTACAAGATTTAAATCTAAAACGAAATTACAATTAACACATTCATGGCGTAAGTGATTTCTCTAATTATGGTATAGGAATGTAAGGCCTCATTTTGAACTATGCCTTAGATACAGCTAATTTTATGGCTTTATGTTAGGTTTTACTACAGAATGACTGCATTGGAAACTTTCTCTTGAGTGCACCACTGGTGATACATGACGTTCTGTCTTTATCCATTTAAGTTTTGGCAGTCATGTGCCACTGGTGATGCACACTATGATTTAAGTAATAATAATCAAATGATCATGATATTTAATTTTTTTTTTTTCTCAGCCTAATCTTGTCGTTTTTTTAGATGAATTATGAATATTTCATAATTTTATGGGCGTAAAAAAGGGACATCAGATAAAATAATCCCTACTATGGTGGATAATAGTTCTATCCTTATTATATTACAATCTTAATAACAGTTTTCTTTTTTATGAAAGAAGTCTTAATTAATGTTTTTTTACTTCAATTACTCACAATGAAAAAATCTCTAGATGTAATTTTAAAATAAAAAGTGATTTAACATTGTAAATTTGTTTTATTTCAGTTGTGCTTTCAACATGGCATCCGTGCTTCACCAGTGGTACATGATGGAAGGCATGGCTTTATTATAGCCATCCATATAAAATAAATGCTTTGTATAGGACTTTGAAGATATGAGATACAATTATATCTTACGGATGCTGTGTATCACGGGTGGCTCACGACGTCCAACAGAAAACATGCATATGTACCACTGGTGGCGCACAATGCCATGAACGTGTTAAGTAAGGAGGAATATTCTTGTTTGTAGGACTCATGTAATACAAATTAAAGCAGACCATGCAGAGTGAAGAATTTTTGAAAAAAAACTGAAAAAACCATCTTATACATTACATAAAAAAATAAAGCCCCCAAAAAAACTATTTTAGAAACTTAGATAAAACTCAGAAATAGATAAGTTTAAACACCCAAAAATGAAATTAATAAGAACTAAAGAACAGAAGCCCTATATGTAAAACACAAATAGTAACTTACTAGTATGTTGTAACATGTAGCATACAAATTATTTGTAGTTACTTTTTATTTTATTTTTACCATATACTTTGCAACAGCTTGCATTAACAAGCTTTTTGCCAGTGTACTATATTTTTCAATAGAAATGTAATTGTATTATGGGATTGCTGTGGGCCAGTTGTATGACAGCTGTTTTCTGGGATATGTGTATATGAAGCTTGATATTGATGCTGACTCATGGTATGATTGCTGAGTTGTTTATTTAGCTACAACATGTTTTTGTTTTGTATACAATATAGAATTGATGCTTGCTCATATTATACTGGCCAAGTCTTTGTTTTTCTATAATATATACTTTTGCAGTGTGGAATAGCTATTGGTTTGCAAATTCCTTGAGTTATTTTGTTTCCCTGCCATTGCTTAATGTGGTCATTAACCCGATGACTACCGGCTACTAACTTTCTTAGTAGGCAATGCAAGTGTGAGGGCAATATCATTTGTGAATTGAAAAAATGATAGAGAACTTATCTTTTAATGGATTTCTGATTTTATTTTTATAGATAGTAGCCTAACATTCAATTATTTGTACAAAATTGTATTATTTAATGAAGTTTAAAGAGGAATTTAATGAAAAAATTCCTAAAATACGTTTTAGACTGTAAATAAGTGCCCTCTAAGAAGAAATGTTTTTTCAAAAATTTTTTTAAGATATTTCCTTTCACTTCAGCACTGGTCCTGCCATCTATAATTGGTATCTAAACCTTTTTCTAGTCTGTTTTCTTTATAAAACTGCGTCTGGGCATGTTAAACCTCAATTGTAAAACCTTTAGCCAGTCCTAGTCGAAAGTGTCAATTTCAGTACCAATTATTCCAATTGCTGTATCTCCCATTTGACAAATTATAGGATGATAAGGAAAGTACATGATGAAACGTTGTTCTCTGGATTTTACAATATGAATGTGGGTGGTGCTTATCATAGTAACTGCCATTTTATGTAGAGGTTGTATTTAGTACTGGCCAATAGGGCTTTTCTATAAGTGTTAGAAAAGTTGCTTCTGGAAAAAACTGCATGGGATATACGTGACTTTTATTTTTTTTATATAGTAGCTTAAGTCATGCTGCATGGTATATCCATTTATATTAATCATTATATTGAAAAATTAACTCAAAATAGATATATTTTTTAGGAAAGAAGTTGATCCACGATTGTTAGGGTTAAGAGTTACCGAGTGGCGAGTGCAAAGTCTTTACATGAATTAGACTCAGGACTTTGAATTGAAAGAGTTTGTGATTTTTTATATTCTTTTGAATTTAAATTTGTAGTTTTAGGCTCAATAATTTACCATAATTTTATATTTAGTTCATAATAATAATATGATTCAGTATTTAGAATGATAAACTTGTGTGATTTGTACGTAATACTACTAGTACCAGTACCACAAAAGAAATTTATAATATTCCTTCTTACAATCTTTGCTTTGTAGTAAGACCCACATTTCTGTTGTTATTGCATTACAATTAAAACAGTCTAACTGATATATATATATAGTTTATTCTGATATTTTGCAAATGGTT